ACGGGGTTTGTAAATTTACTATATTCAAGACAATTAATATGTCCATCGGAAAGTGCTTTTTCAAGCCATTCTTCTGATACGTTTGCCATGGCTTTTGTTTGTACTAATAAATTTTGATTTTTGAACAATTCGAACGAACGTACTTATATACGGGCAGGAAATCTAAAAGCACAATCACACAATTAGTGGCTTACGTACGTACGTACACAGTATAACATAAAAATGCGTTGTAAAAAAGCAGAATGACTTCCTGTAAAGTATTGTGGTGAGACGTAGTACAGAATTCTGTATTCGGTGCAAGAAATCTAAAAACCACAATCTCCTTATAGAGAGCATCAATAAAGTGTGTACATAAATAGTTATTGAATGCGACTTAATTATGCCTATTTAATTATACGTTACATTAATTCTGGAGAGAAGTAGCATATTTTAAATCAAATATTTATGTACTGTATACACTTATGATTTAGTACTCCGCAAAGTCAAATCAAATTTTGAATTTGAATCAAATATTTGAACATTTGATTTGATTTTGTTGAGTACTACTTCTGATGCTAATAATTAGAAAATAACTTGTTTATACTTGTCTCTATAAGGAGATTGTGGTTTTTAGATTTCTTGCACCGTACGTACAGTACGTATCAGATTGTGGAAATGATGGGAATGCAAAAAAAAAAAAAAAATACCCCAAAAAAAAAAACAATTAGAATAATTCATAGTTATTGTATTCTTCTCATCCAATAACTATATATTATTACAATTTAAATGCAAGCAAGTCGAGTAAAATTTTCAAATAAGTAATGTTCAAATCACGGAGACAGATACAATTAAATTTAAAAATTTTATATAAAAGATTATAAAAATTTATTAAATTTCAAATTTTGCCTTCATGACCTGCAGGTTACCTACATATTAAATTGTTAAAATGTTTGCCCAATTACTTAACAGACATATTTTTTTATTAATTTAAACATTTTATTGCTCTGGATATACAGTATCTAAAGATTAAATGTCTACACACATTCTATAAAAAAGATTGTACAGTACAGTTATTGTAGACATTGTTCAAAAAAAACTTCAAAACGGATCGATTCTCCAACTGCCAGTACGATATTGTACAATTTTAGAGGGTTTATCAAGTTTTAACGATTTTATTGGTTGATTACAGTCGTCCTCCCATATAATCACACAGTTGGGCACATAGTAACTTTTTCAAAATGTACTTATATAGGGGTTGTGCTTATATAGAGGTCTTTTTCTTATAAATTAAATCATAGTTTGGCCTAAACATAAATGTGATTGCATATGGTGTGATTATATGGGAGGTGGTTATATAGAGGGACGACTGTATTACGTAATCTATCCCGCTTTAAGGAGCAGCCAATTTTATACATACCAAGATGTATAAAAAAAAGTTTTGGGGTTGACAACATTAGTTACCTACGTACGTACGTATGTACAGTACAGTACGTATAGTACTGTATGTGGCACATCACTAGGCATGATTATTGAGAATAAAAGTGATTTTTTGATCAGAGGTTGTAAGCCCGATAATGAATTGCTTATGAATCGCTTATGAATTTTACTCATAAATTTGTACCTGATTGTAACCTGATGCTTATAAATTTTTGTACTTATGTACCTAATTATGACCTAATTACTTATAAATTTTATGCATATGTACCTGATTAAAATTTTTTTGTGCGTATGTTCCTGATTGTAACCTGATTACTTATAAATTTTTTGTACGTATTTACCTGATTGTAACCTAATTACTTATAAATTGTACATGATTATAATATCACCTAATTTTTAATAATCACAGTGTTTCAACTGGAGATTATCGGGCCTGTGACTCAGTTTACAACTGTTTTCATAAATTCTGAATTATTTATTATAGCTGTTGTCATAAATTCTGGAACACCTGGTAAAAATTTGCCGAATGGATTTCGGCGATTCGATTAAGTTTTGATTTCGGCATAATTGATTCAAACTGATATACATAATTTAAGATTTGATATTGATATACATAATTTAAGATTTGATATTGATATACATAATTTAAGATTTGATATTGATATACATATTATAAGACTAGTACATAGGTACGTACGTATGTATTTCTCTGGTTGAATACAGAGATATTACAGTATTATCTTTACAAAGCAATTTCTCTGGCAAATAATTGAAAAAAATTTATTAGTTCAAAAATCGCTAAACACTAGGTGTTAGAAGATCTTCTACAAGTCGAGTTTTCAAGCACTTTCAAAGATATGGTTGCATTGAAAAATTTTCATAACACATTTTCGACAAATATTAAAATTTTGAATTTTTGAAATCTTGAGTTGCATTTAAAACCAGTCAACAAATTCTTGATTATATCAAACCTTTTAATATTAGCAATATGTTTATTATAATATCCAGAGACTTTTTTATATTTCTTGTCGTATAAACTAAACACATATTCAAACAAAAATTAATAATGTTGAAAACGTCGACATTATAATCATATAAAATTAAGTATTACGTGTAAAAATATACATCGATCATGCCTAAATCAACAACTTAACCGAATCAGCCGAAAAATTATTCGGCTAATTTTTAACAGGTGTTTCAGAATTTATGAAAAACAAAAAATTGAATACGGAAAAAATTTGTTGCATATTATTTTGCGGATCTCTCATTATTGAATTTTCACGCAAACACGACTATACCAAAGTTGGCCATCAAATTTTAATATGAACATTATGATTTTAGTGTTAACGTCATAAGGAATTAGAACTTTTTTGTTTAAAACAATATGAAGCATTATTTACCTGTTGGATGATGCTGAAATTTGGTGTCTGATTTGAAAATATTAACCCTACTAAAATCCACATATACCCTTATACTAATAGCCAAACTAAATCTAGTGGAGGCTAGGTAGCCCACTCTAGTAGAGCTTTTGACCGAGGATGAATTGGTTCTAGCTGTAGGTCCCTGTAATAATTTATGTAACCCATTTAACAATGTAATGCATAATTATTCAATAAGAACGAGGCCAGGCCTCACTCTATAAAAAAAAATATATTAATAATAGCTAGAAATGAACGAAAAAAAGGTATTATAACTACTCTATTTACGAGAAATCTGAATTCCTAAAGGACTGCTCATTATTTTACAATTTCCAATACTAAGATGCACCACCCTCGCACAAAATTACATCTAAATTAAACCATATCGAAGTATATATCAAGCAGTTGCTTTGATTATCATTGTACGAACATACGGTACGTAAATTTATTTAGTTATACAAGTTTGGTGTATGTTTTCTTCCATTGTTTAAGTATGTCAGAACTTCCCAAAAGTGAAAATCAAGAAAAACTCATTGATTTTAGCGAATTAAATATTCTAGAGACACTTGATGAGGGTGCATATGGACAAATATCCAAAGCAGTATGGAGAAATGATATAGTTGCTCTCAAAAAATTAAAATCAAGTCGAGAAGAAAAGCATATTATCAATGAGGTACAACCGTATATTTATAATTTTATTAAAACAATGAATTCTCACATTAAAAATTTAAATTACGCAGCTTCAACATTTTAAAAATGTTGATTTTCATCCGAATATTATTAAATTTTATGGTGTCACTAAAGGTGATTTGATTACTACTAATATCTAGATCGTATTAAAAGTTTATATAATAAAGTTTATAATCTTTAATCTGAAATAAACGAAAAGACAAGCAAAATCAGAACAGCCTCTATATATCGTTCTACAATATGCAGAAAGTGGAAATTTACGGAGCTATTTAAACAAAAGGCGAGAAACATTAGGATGGGATCACCTATGCTAATAAATTGTGATTTATTATCAATATTCCACGCGGTTGGTAAAACAAGACCATTGAACAAAGTGGTCTCCTCCATTACATCAAATTTCTAATCAGGTCTTTTGTATAGCAGGTCTTTTATCTAGACAACCAATTTATTTTAGGCGATTTATTGTCAGCAAAATATAAGTTCAATTTATGCAGCTTCATATATGTATCTTCATGCATGTTACGCAATCTCAGCCCGTTTTTAATTGCATTTTTTCAGAATCATGCGCTCATCTCTAAGTAGTACGTACTGAACGTACGTACGTACGTACGTACGTTGTGAGCGTCGAATTTACCCCATCTGGTAACGATGTGCAAATCGCAGTCGTACCACTGTTCGATTTTTTAAATTTTTTAAATCGATTAAATTTATTAAATTAGTTAAATAGGTTAAATCGAGTAAATTGGTTAAATCAAACAAATCGAGGAAAATGAAGAAATTACTTAAAAGAAGAAATTAATTAAATTTGTAAAATTTATATAAGCGCTTAATATTTACCTTCAATAAAGATAACTCGGTGGAGTTCAAAGTTCTAAGTTAAAGAAATTAGAGTATTTAACTTGAGATCCACTACTAATTCCCCCCGATAAGTAAAATCTGTATTAACGGAAGGAATTCGTGACCAAAGCCTGTGATTCTGAATAAGAAGATTCGTGACGTAATCTAGACTCTAATCTGACACTATCGCTAAGAACCCAATTCACCCTAGTTACTCGGACCAAGTCTTTCCACGCCTCGATCGTTGCCTTACCAATATTAGGGTTTGGTGTATTAGTTGTAGTGTTTTGGTTAGAGAGTTTAGTTAGTTTTAGTAGTGTAAAGTTGTATTATCCAGATCCGGTGCATCTTTCCCCCTTCCACAACGTACGTACGTAGATCAAAACTTTTTATCGTGATAGCCTGCATGCAACTTATAAAATTATTAAAAGGGCAGCATGGGTGCACATAGCGCACATACGCACATAGTTAACATGTTAGACATGGCAAACATAGTAGATATGTTAGATATAGTGGATATGTTAGCTATAGTCGCTATGTACTTTATAAGTATGCAAAAGACTCGCCTTCTCGCTCAAATAAAGACTAACTCGGTTGGAGTTCAATATTAAAAAGAGTGTTGCTCTACTAATCCCCCGATAAATAAAATCTGCATTAACGGAAGGATAAGTGACAAAATCCCGTGACGTCATATTAAGAGACTCGTGACGTAGTCAAGAGCTCTAATTGACCCTAGTTATTCGGACCAAGTCTTTCCATGTCTCGATTGTTGCCTTACCACTATTAGGGTTCAGTTAGAGTAGTTTAGTTAATATTTAGTGTTGTGTTGTAGTGTATATTGGTATTATCCAGAACCAGAGAATTATTTAGACTTTTACAACGTACATACAGACATACATATTTGCATGGCATGCACAATAAGGTAATTTAGTAGTAATGGGAACTGACTACGGAATTTTCGTAATATTTTTCTTTTTTTGAGTTAGAAAAGATCAGTAATTCTAGTATGTACATTAATGAACATAAAAATGTGTATTGTTAGATGAAACTTTTCCGAAGATTGCTTACCAAATACAGTATGATAAAACAAAGGACTTCTTACAATATGACTATTTTTTCGATGCACCATTACATAACGATAAGGCTTTTTCTGCTCTTTTGCAGTTCTATATTTATCTGTATATACAGTCAACATAATAGTGATAATAGTTGGAGGCTATGAATATAATAAGGTATAATAGTCTAGAGAGTTGAACGGAGTGAATGGCAGGAATTTAAAAGGTTTTTTGGTTGTAAAGATTATGATAAGGGTAAATCAATGCTGAGGTGGCCAAGGTCGAATTGTCCAAAATCAGTACGTACGTATAGTACGTATTAACGACAGGCCTAGTTGGGGTTAGGTTTTGGAGGTTCCGAACATTATTGATTAGCACCCCTGACGTGAATTAGTTAGGCCGCTTGCAGTTGATTCTTCGGTTAACATTATCCCCCCCTCAGTTGAAGTATCCCCCAAAAAAATGAACAACCAATCAAAACGCTGGATAACTCTCGCCGATCACCTGATTTACATCGACTAATGAAATTGGCCCATATCTGTTCATTTTTATATGTTCGTTTCATTTTACCCCTCCCTCCCGGGAGTCCTAGAAAGTGATGTTAACCGAAGAATTAACTTCGAACGGCCTTAGTAGGTTTTTAAGATTTAGCGGTGATAATCACCGCCAGTTATAGTGTAACTGTCGTGACTAAAGTTGGGATCCGACTAAAGTTGGAACTTCAGTTGACTGAAGTTGAACCTGACTGAAATTAGCCCTGAAATTAGATCATCCTGCACGCATTAGTTAGCTGTTTTAGGCAGGTGCCAACTTCAGTCAACTGAAGTTCCAACTTTAGTCGGATCCCAACTTCAGTCACGACATTATCATATATCGGTATAACAATTCGCAAAATACATTCAATTAAAAATTCAATTGTATAAAAGTTTGAGGGTTCTCGAAACATGATTTTTTTTCCAACTAATTATTTTTATCCTTCTGAATCGCAAACTTTTCATAAAAACGTTTCTTGTTCTTCAATATCAATGATTCATTTGCAATTCGGCTTTTTTTTAAAAAAAACTTTTGATAGTTTAGAACGTTTGCTTTGCCTTTAAATTCATTAGTTTGTATACTGTATATTCAATTACAAAAAAATTATGTAACTTACTGGGCTTTTTTTTAACCACGTCTTTAGTTCTTTGTGAGGATGATTTATCTCGATGAGTTTCTGTCGCTGTTACATTTGTTTTTTCGAATTATGTAATTATAAATAGTGAACTTAAAAAACCCCTAGTCGAGGATGCAATCACATGATATTCCGACCTGACAATTCTCCAGAAAATTTATTTTCAATAAAATGATTTGTAAACCTTGAATTATGTTGTACAAATAATATCATAACATCAAATTATCGAATATACAAAAAAAAAATCTACACTTTCCAAAGCAAAATTGCATTCCTGATGGATCGTCGGTACTGTTCCTGATAGGATAGGGAAAATATTGATTTACATACCGTTCCTGATAGGATTCTAAAAAAGAGTCTCTAAAATATTATACTACTATAGCGAGATATATGAAAAAAGTTGATATTAGGGTTCATTTTTAGAATTCTATCAGGAACAGAACAGTACTCAAATAAAAAATTTTTTTAACTCCATCAAGATCGGTACTGCCAATCCATCGGGAATAGTATTTTTGCCCTTCCAAACTTAACTAATATAAATTTTAAAATATCATGTCCATTATTCCAGGGGTCATTATAAAGAAGCTCGTTATCGTAAGCTTTGGCAGTAACCGGATTTATAAAAGAATCTGCATTCGTGAATTAAATTAACACAAATATAACGTGAATAAGTTTTAACTTTTTTTGGTATTTCAATATATGAAGCCACCTTTATTTTTTGTTGAAAAACTGTACAAATAAAAAGAAAAAAAATTGTATACAGCTTTCTATCTAGTTCAGAATATTTCTGAACCGGTATTATGTACAAACAAATTTCGTTATATCGAAATATGTGTACATTGTCCTGTGCTGGTAAAGGAGAGTTCGGATGGGTATATAAAACTTTACTATATAAGTTTGGTATAGGCAACCTAAATCCTTATAACAAATCTGTTATACCAGTTCTAATTCGTTATAACCCGAGTTCGTTATAAGCGTTCGGTATATCAAGAGTCGACTGTAGTCCTATCATATTACCTATTGAGATCATTTCATCAATAATTTTCCTCAATGCATGAAAAAGATTCTGTACCAAACTATAAGATTTCATGCTACAAATCAGGTTTCATGAATCAGGTGTACATAACACGATCAGGAAATTTCAAGACAATAGTTGTTTTGTTAAAATCGCTCGTTTCTCAAAAACCTGCATTAAAATTACCCTTATTGATCTAACAAAACTTTTCCTTGAGCGATTTTACTAAACAATTTCCTTATTTTAAACGCTAGCCTAACATTATTAATCTTCAAAAATTTTGCTTGCGCCACAAACCTGGCACAGAATTTTTTCATGCTTAACTAATTTGTGCAACTTCTTTAGTTAATCATTAATGTTAAGGAGCTGCTGTTTCACAACATTCTACATTAGGTTATATGCCGGAGGCAAAATCCGTTATACTAAATTCATAGTTCTTTCAAGGTGATAACGTCTAAACGAAAGTCATATTAAAATATTTAATACATTTCAAATTAATCATAGTTTTTTCAAAATGACAATGTTACCGAACGAATGTCTTTTTGAAATATTTAATAATTTTCGAACTGATTATAAAACCTTATTTTCATGCCTTCTTGTAAACCGTCGATGGTGTAGAATTATTATACCAATATTATGGAGTGAACCAACAAATTATTTCACTGATCAAAGAATTATAAATATATATCTATTAGCATTAAATACTGAAGAGCAAGCTCAATTAATTCCATTTAAAATCAATCTTCCAAATTATCCAAGGCCATTATTTAAGTATGAAAGTTATACTACATCTGTTGGTTTTTATTTGGACATTGAAATCACCAAATGGCTTAAAAATGAAGGATTTAATGTAGAAAAATATGAAGTTACAAATGCTATCAAATGCTCTTTAGTTGCAATGTTTCTGCGGGCAAGTAAAAATCTTAAACATTTATTAATTAATAATGCTGTTAATAAAACAATATTAGCAGATGCACTTTACAAGAATACCACTCTGACTTCTTTGAATATTCAAAATTATAATTTTGGGGCAGAAGAAAGAAATATATTAGCAGATGCACTTTGCAAGAACATCATGCTGACTTCTTTAAGCCTTTATCGTAATAATCTTGGCTTAGAAGGAGGAAAAGCATTAGCGGGTGCACTTTGCAAGAACAATACACTGAATTTTTTGAATATTAGAAACAATAATCTTGGATCAGATGGAGGGAAAGCATTGGCAGATGCACTTTGCAATAACACCACGTTGAAAGAATTGAATCTTTATGGTAATAAACTGGAATTAAGTGGAGGAAAAGCATTAGCAGATGCACTTTGCAAAAACACAATGTTGACTTCTTTGAACCTTGGTAATAATAATCTTGAATCGGACATTGGAAAAGCATTAGCAAATGCACTTTGCAAGAACACTACGCTGAAAAATTTAAATCTTGGTGGACATAGATGGTGTTTATATCGTAATCATCTTGACTTAGAAGGAGCAAAAGCATTAGCAGATGCACTTTGTAGAAATACCACGCTGACTTCTTTGGATCTTAGCAGAAATGGTCTTAGATTAGGTGGAGGAAAAATACTAGCAGATGCACTTTGCAAGAATACCACATTAACTTTTTTGAGTCTCAGCGGTAATAATCTTGGATCAGAAGGAGGAAAAGAATTAGCTGATGTACTTTGCAAGAATATCACGCTGACTTCTTTGGATCTTAGCTATAATAATCTTGGACCAGAAGGAGGAAAAGCATTAGCAGGTGCACTTTGCAAGAACATCAAACTAACTTCATTGAATGTTAATGATAATGAACTTGGATCAGAAGGTGGAAAAGCATTAGCAGGTGCACTTTGCAAGAACACAACATTGACTTATTTGGCTCTTATCAATAATTATCTTGAATTAAATGGAGGAAAGGCATTAGCAGATGCACTTTACAAGAACAATACCTTGAAAGAATTGGATATTCGTTTTAACCGTATTAATTTTACTATAAAATCTAATAATCCAAATATCAAAATATATCAATAAATTGTATATGGCAAATGTAAACACAATTCTATAAATAAATTACTTTCTACAATATTTGCGCTGATTTAGTATTACCACTTATTATTATTTTATTAATCTACATCTAATAACGTAAATAAAAATTTATTTAAACTTTTGCACATCACTAACACTATTTTCTTCGTGATATGTATGATGATATTAATAAGATTAACATGTCATAATTCTCTAAAGGATCGTTAGCAGTACACAAAATTGCAGCATGAAGTATCTTAATTTTTTTTTTCTGGAAGTATTTCTATCAAACAGTATTTAGTATCTATAGAAAAAGAAGGTAATTATCTGTATAATGTGAAGAAAATATCAAAAAATTACAATATTAATGTAAAGATTCTGATTGTTAAAAATTATACTGGATTTTTTCTTAACAGAAACACCAGTCTTTTATAAAAGATTTTGCGCACTAATTATTTCTAAAGGGCTAATAGGTTTAAAGATGTTTATAGCTTATGGTTTAATTTATTTATAATGTCCTATACCATATCAATACAATATTTGCAACAAATTGCAGCTTAAAAATTCAAGAAAACCCGATTTGCATATCGAATCACGTCAGAATTTTTAGATAGATTATACAGATTTTTAGAAACCAAGTCTGGTATGTAATAAATCAAAGCTTGAATCTTTGGCAGTATTAATATCGATATATCAGTAATTTTAAGGGTGTTCTCAAGCACCCTAATGAATGGGTCAAAAAGTGTCGGTGAATGGATTTTATTAGCGAAATTATTTTAAATGATAATAATAATATAATAAAGTTCATTATTTAAATAAAATATTTTTATTAGTAAAAAATATTAAGTTTGGCAATTTACAAACTTTCTACTGCAAACCATTTTTTTTATATCTTGTCTTGACAAAGTTTACTATTGAGTATTTAAAGAGATCACTTAAATGCTTTATCATGAACCAAATTCTTAGTATTAATGAATTATTATTTTTTATTTTTAATTAAAGTTATAAAAAAAAAAAAATATCAGAAAGTTCAAAAAACAGTCATGGGCTTACCATCTCTTAGCCTTTATTTATACGGCAACATATTCAACAATTTTACTGATATTACCATATTTCAAATAGAAAATTATTAATAAATTACTTAGTATCAATTGCAATTTTATATTTGTTGATTGCAACACCGCGATAATAACTAATCGTATCAAGATTGATTACATCATAATTTACAAATCATATAAATACGTAGAATGAAAAACTTCCTAGATCTAGTTTTTATTTTATTTAGCCAGGATACGTTCACTGTGATCACGCTATCCAATTAAACGTAAGATTTTGCGTACACGCCTTTCTAGATAGCAGTAAACACTAGTTAGCTGCGCGACTTAGTCGCGCAGAAATCAGAAAAAGGGTTAATTTAGTACTAATATTTTGATAAAAAAATGAATGTACCTTTATAATATTTTAAGGTAATAAATTATGTTATCGTGCAAACTCTTATGATCATGGCATTTTTTTGCACTGATATTTTTATGCACGTAATGTTACACAAACCGATATTCAACAAATGCACAAATAACACAACTTTTATTTTGCAAATCGAGCATTGAAAGCTACGTACAGGATTTATTATATATTTTTATTTTTTTTTTATTTACATTTTAATATTAATAATTGGTTTAATTATAGTGCTCCGAAATTAAAAGTGCAGTTGTGAAATACATTGCCGGTAAGGAGTTTTTCCAATGCTTCTTTTTTTGGTTGATTTTGACTTTCAATATCTAGATTAGCACGATGGTCCACTTGCTTCAGATCTTCAGGTTCGATTTCTGGATTTTTTTGCCCTTCCATTTGAGCATTTTGATCAAGCTCAATTAATGCACTTCGTGGAGACTCAGGTAGGTCGCTATTAGTTCTTGAAAAATTTTCAATGAATAAATCAGTATCAAATGATTGATAATCACTTGCTAATGTAAAATCAGCATATTTTTTTTTAGATTTCACGGCTTGGTCACATGTTTCTTGATCAGTTTCAATTGATTCGGGTGAATATGCAACATTTGTTAATGCATTAAAAAACCCGTTCAATCCTTGCTGCTGCATTACTGACTTGGGACGTTCGTACGATGCTAAACCCTGTTGGGTTTTGTGGCGTGTGATGGACATTACAACAGAATCGGAAAACCCTAACTCTTTCAATACTTGGACAGAAGTTTTCCGACCTGAATAATTAGAGATAGTTCTATCCCCGATTTCTATATTTGTTATTTCACAAATTATGCGAAAATAGCTTTTCAGCGTACGTTCAGGAAGTGCACGTGTATAAAACCATTTTGTACTGAAATCAACTAAAATAAAAAATTTTTTTTTATTAATAAACATAAAACATTACATTTTGATTAATATAATTGAAAATTAAAAATAATTTTTTGAATCAAGAAATTACACACAATCATTCGGTGTACAAGGTTTTAGATAAAAGTTACTAACGGCTGTTGCTGGACGTTTTGTGAAATAATATTCATAATCGTCAATGACATTTTTATTGTTGGGTAAACTAATAGTTTCTGCTTGTGCATCACGATCATTTAAACCTCTCTGGTTTGTTTTTGATCGATATAACTTGATGTCTATACCACCATCAAACCTTTTGACAAAGTTGTTGATTTTAAGGTCTTGATGTTTCCCACCATGTAATGCTAATAATATAGCATTGTAAAAAAAGATACGATGCAGTAATCCTTCAGGTGAGTTTCGTTGCATTGTGGGATGTTCTAGGATTCTTTCAACTTCACTTATGGTAAGACCATCGGCTCCATTTCGCTCACCCAAACCCGCTGAAGAAAGAGTTTTCAATTTTCCATTAATAACAGTATGGAGATCATAAAAAATCTTTGGATTCAATATGTCTACAGGTTTCTCTAAAACAGAATATTCATTCAAGTGGTGCCAAATTGCTGCCATGCAATTTCTTATAGAAGATGCATGATACTCTTTACCATCCCTACGTTTTATCGCACATACAAATTTACAAAGCTGGTCTTCTAAAATTGTCTTCGAATTAACATCTTCAATTTTTCCACCATATCCTACATCAGCACGAAACTTCTCTAAAACCTTCACCCACACTTGTGTTGCCTTGTGCGTTGCTTGTACTTTAGCACTTTCACGAATTGCTTTCAAATCTTCTGCCGAAGGTTCAAAGTACTTAAAAGACTAAATTTAAGTTGGTTAATTTAACAGCATCTAGCTTCTTAAATAAATACTCAAAAAAATTTTTTTTAAAGTTCAAACCTTGGCGGTGCTATTACGGGAAGTCTTTTTGTTCGACTTTGGCATTTTTTTTTTCTACGAATTACTAACAGCAACCTTCTTTTCAGGTATTTATATGGCAAAGACAGCGAAAGTGTAAACCCCCAGCGAAAGATAAAACTTTTAGATAAAAGTGAAGCCACTAAAACCAATGTACGTGCAGCCTTAATCTGAAATTAATGAAAGGTAAAAGAATTAGATTTAAACTTCTGAAGACAGGGTAAA